TTAAGCTAGCTGACCGGGATGTTGATCACCCGGGGATGTTGATCACTCACAAATCTCAGCACTCCCACACAAAACACGTGTTTATTTTCTTAACGTAGCTATAATTGCCACTCCGTACACATAGACTGAAGCGTTTGAGCTGCTGTCCTGACTGCTATATTTTCTGCAGCCTTCTCCTTAGCATTATCATCGCGCTGTGCCTTAAGAAGCTGTGACGCCTGTACGGCAACCATAATTGTCTCTATATCTGCAAAGCGTTGATTTGAATTCACACGAACTTTCTTTCGTGGCTGCTGAGGCTTAAGAGCCTCAAGTTGACTATGTAGTCTTTTGTTCTCTGCTTCTAGCTGTGCTGCGCGAGTATTTGCTACTGCAATAGCTTTGCCTGCTTTTTGAATAAGCTGGTGAGTCTTGCGGCTAACACTCTCGTTCCTGTGCAGCTCTCGCTGAGCTATAAAAAGATCACGAGGTCCACGGGGGGTAGATAGATGGCTTTTAGCAGTTTGAGCTTGAGTCTGACGTGGTGGCGTAACAAGCCTCTGAGCTACCTGTGAGGAGTTGACTACCCGCTCAATGTTCAATGGACAGATGCCTGCAGTAGCCCATCCAGCTCGTACTACTCTCTCAGTAATCGCAGCCTCTCTAGCGTTATAGTAGGCTGTAATAAAGCGTTCTTTTTTAACAGGCGCGGCGTCGTCTAGATGCGATACTTCCTGGATCTGGTTTCGGTAGAATCTCTTCACTACTGAGAAAACTGAGAGATCTAGTGGCTGCAATACATGAGATGAGTGTGCAGGTAGAAATAGAAGCTGAACTTTATTCTGCTTGCAGGTCCACAGGAATTCCAGATCAATGTGGCTGCCGTGGCCGTCCAGAATTAGCATCCTCCAACGATCGTCTGATGGAGCCGTTTCAGGCAGAAATACCCGTTGCAGCCATTCGAGGCCTATCGCATTTGATGTCCAGCCATTCTTAGAGGTTGTGTAAAGCCAGTTAGGTATTATCGCAGGAAACCAAGTACTCTGTAGGTTCTTGCCCTTGAATATCACCCCGCAGCGCAGTTTCTTGCCCGTAGCCGACACGCACTCGATTATTGATGCCCACTCGCGGTTCTCTGGGGACTGATGGTAAGCCTTCTTCTTCTGACTAGATGCGAGCACTCTGGTGTTGGCACATACACCTAAGGCCTTCCCAGTCTCATCCATATTCCATATATCCTCAGCCCTTATGCCTAGCCTCGTACGAGTCCTCTCAAAGAGCTCCAGGAACGCGCGTATCTGTGCTGGGGTTGCTCCCTCAGCTCGAGCTGCCTCGATCTTTCGACCTACAACAGATGCGACGCGTGGGTTACGCTTAAGGAAGGCAGCCATCCAATGCTTGCCTACGGGTCTGTGGTCTCCGTTCATCCGGAGGATTCGGTTCGCCATTTCTCGTGCGCGTGCATGGGAGGGAGGAAAAGCTCGTGCGTCTTCTTCGAGTATCCATTGTACGAGGAAGTCCTCCTGCTCTGGAGTCAACCGCTGCTGGTATACGTGGCTGGCTTGGTTGCTTTGTCTGCCGCGTATGCGCGTTGAGATTGTAGATTGCGGGATGTTGTACGCCTTTGCAGCCGCCCTCTGACTTAGAAAAACACCAGCATCGATATCGCTGATAGCTGCTTGTATAGCTGCTTCACGGTCGCCCATTTTGGTTGAGTACGTGGAGAGATAACACGTGTTTTGTGTGGGAGTGCTGAGATTTGTGAGTGATCAACATCCCCGGGTGATCAACATCCCGGTCAGCTAGCTTA